GCTCTTAAGGAAAATTCTGTTAGCTTAAAGAAAATTGTGCAAGGGTGTTACATCTTTGTATCTGCACGTCTGCTAAAAAAAGCATAACATGGTAGATTAAAAATTGTATTTGTGCTTATCAAAAGCAGTCAGTTAGTAAGCGTCCGACTTCCATTCGAAAATTTTCGTTGTACAAATAAAACTTATCGAAATAGTTTCTCAGGTGAAGAATTTCAAGTTTAACTGCATTTTACACCCCAGTTTGAGCAAAAATTTTGGATGCGCGTATCTTCTAGGGCATGTTTAATTTAGCGTCACTTCAAATTTTCTCCGCAACACTGTTGTATAAGTGCTGTTACATTGGTTTGTTAGATTAACATCTTCTTCATTGAGCAGAACTCATAGAAGACCCGGTAAGCGAAGAAAATGAGCGAAGAAGGAGAGCTATTGAGAAGTGGACTGAAGAGTCACACGAAGAGTTTGCAAATGGGTAAATATCCACCGATTACCAGTATGTATTGCTGTTTTAGAGAGAAATTGTTAGGAACACAGAATTAACAAGGAAAAAATCTGGGTTCCCTATAAGGATCCGGGCCTTCCATGACCTAAACCATACTCTATATTTGTAAGTAACAAGAGTCTAAGTGACAAAAGCTAAACGCGGTGGATGGAGAAACTTGCAGCACAGGTGTCTGTCACTCGCGTGGAAAGCGCGAGGCGAGAAGTTGGAGGGGGCAAGCGGAGAGTCTTGTGTGAGGGAATGAGCCTCTTGTCTCCACCCGCATCAAAAACGCAAAAAAGAACAAGAAATGATGTCTGTTTTACAAGTCAAGTGTTGAGTCGAGAGTACAAGGGTCTGAAAGATACTTAATGCGCATGACAAAATGCATTGCTTTCATTTTCTTTTCTAATATCACTGTTTCAACATGACAGAGTTAGTTAATTTTTTAGAATATATTTCCAATTTATTCGCAGTCTGGCTGTGCATGGAAAGAAATTCCGTAAAGTGGCTGACCATCTTCCAGAAATGGTATGTATGGCCTTGTAAATTTTATCAATTTGGGTCCATTCGTGCCATTCGTCAAACAATAATATGACATATTTTCAAAGAATTCAGTGATTTGAGATTGCTGACTGTTCAAACGCTAGCTTTCGCCAAAGTTTCCTTGGTGAGAAATTCATTTTCTGTACAAAAATCTAAATTCAGCCCGAGATCTCAACTGTTGAACTATTTTGCTTAGACCCGGACAAACCCAGGATGGAAAGCTATTCTTCTCTGAGTTTCCACCTAACTCCGACATCTAGGTGACAATTTAGACGAAAAAATGTTGGATTTCATATTGGTCCCCAGTAGATTTTTCAGAAGGCCTTCACCCACACCTCAAACAAGCCCCTTTCTTCACCCCGCACCGGGCCTTCCCACCCTAAGCTCGTACCCAGATCCTACCGTTTAACCGTGGGACCTTTCCTAGGGACCTTACAACCCCTTGGCCGTGAAAGGTCTGGGCACAAGACTTCGTCACCCTTGCCTGTAAGCCATAGAAATAGATAAGACCCCTGGTAGCTTACGGGAGGGTTTACCACATTATTTGATACTGAGTGTCCTTGGGTTGTTCTTCAGACTGTAGCAGACTGTGTAGAACATTACTACATGACCAAGCCCTTTGACTTCAATTTCGCGGAGGTGAGTAGAACGCTAACGCAGCGACTTGGGACACAAAACAACCAATCAGAACAAAGGTAGACATGACAAGAAGCTGATGAGAATTAAGAGTATAAAGAACTATCGTTAGACGACTTCAAGCACGGGAAAATGTGATAGATGACGTCACGATTGATCTTCGTTTTGCATCTGATTGGTTCAGGGAATGACGCGAGTTTTCTAGACCAATCACTGAGCGAGGTGAAGTGAACGCAATGCAATCCTGGATCACTTCCGGGGACAAAAAAAAATTAAATAAACTTGCGAGAAACCGGGGCTGATGAGCGTGAGTCCTTGTCTTCAAGTTTCGAACGCGTTTTTTCCTATCGACCGACTAGTATACGGCGAATTTTTTCTCCTTCCATCTACCGACTGATATGCTGCGAGAGAGTGATTTCAATGATGAGCAGTGAATTTAATTGGTTATTAATTTATCTTACTTTCTGTTGCTTTGCAATTAACAGTGGGAGGCTAATGAAAAAGCCAAAGACGACGGCTTACAGCCTTCATCAATAGGGTCCAAAGGAATTTCTTCTGATTGGGCTCAGTCGTCAACTACATCTGAGCCTCAATCAATTGCAAGCTCTCCCGTAGGTGAACCGTTGGGAGTAAAAAGAGAAGAGGAACTGAAAAATTCTGAAGAGGCAGATTAATTAAATGCCGAGAAATGATATAAAATTTCTGATGATAGTCTACTTTTAAGCGATGCCGATAAGTCCAAATAAGGAAGTATCATGTGCACTCACCAGTGGTTATTTAATAAATAATCATTAAGAACAAAGGTTGTACAAGCTTAAATTTTTATGTACAATCGTACTTGGCTGATCATTATGAATTGCAATTATTTAATCCCGTTGAAAAGGACCCCTTTGACTCGCGGAAAGGAGTTAGCACAGAGGGAAAATTTCCCCATTGTTTTCATTGGAAAAGACACCTCTGACTCTGGATTGGGGTGGCAGGGAGGTAAAAAAACCCGTTGGATCTTTCCCCCAATAGTTTTAGCGGGAGAGAGGAAACTGAAGCGAAAGATTTAAGGTCAGAAATATTTAAAATCTTTTCATGTCTGAGCAATCTATTTCCAAGAAAACATAATTGCTGAAACAGAACTATGGCTCGTTTTTTCTCGGAATCGTGATTGGTACGGGTAGGGGTAGGAGACGTTAATTTCTCACGCACGAGATTACTGTGTGATAGATGTCCTCCCCTGGGGTGGGATGGGTGGGTTGTTGTCTTGCGTTTCATACATGAGCCTCTGGCTCGGGTAATATGGGTAACCATGCCCCACGCAATGACATTAAACTTTGATTGATTGATTGATTGATCAAACAAGCTTAAGGCTGTGCTTTGGGCGGCGTAACTTTTCAAAGATCACATGTTACGTAAGCGCGTATCAAAAATTGCATTTTTTTCTTTTTATGAAACGTGAAACGCCGATTTTATTTCCCTTGAATTGTGAAAGGACCAATTTATTATTCATGAAACGTGATCATGAGCCCCTCGCCTCACCATTTACCACCCTCACGAAACTACACAATGTATTTGTAATCTGATGCAATGTTTCCCAGTTTCTCCTCGTCCAAACATGTACTGCCTTTCAGGTTTCATCAGCTCAAAATCCTTATATTCATTGAAGTTGCTAGTTTGCATCAGATCAGTGAGGTTCGTTCGTTGTTTCACTACGAGAATGTCCATAGTAGCCGTTAGAAGTGTCGAGGGCGATGAAAATTTAACAATTTCTTTCACCTTTGAGGGAAAAGATCGAAAATTGCAGCGGAGTAAAGATGAAATCTTGTCCAAGGCTTTGACTAGGATTGAACTTTCCTCAAAGAAGAAAACAAAAAAGGTGAAAAGGAGTGCTGATTACCATGAAATTGGCGGCAGTTCAGAAGGAAATGCGACTCTTTGGTTCAGTGGTCAACTAGTTGACTCGAGTCTTACCAATGAAGTCGCTTGGAGGGATGGATCAATATTGAAGATCGGAGCAGAAGCTTTCACTGTGGAAATAAATCCTCCGACAGTCACTTCGCTAACCCTACCCGCTAATCTAATGTCAGGATTCCCTGTAATGCCTTATCTTCAACTGGAATTTGGCGACAAACAGTTTTGTCGCTATAAATGGTTAAAATCCACGAATCATTGTGACGAACAGGCAAGTTCTGTGCCAGCTTCCTCACAAGAAGTGTTGAGCTGGGTGGAAGTCGGGAATGATTTCCTGTACACTCCTTCAGTAGTTGATGTTGGCTGTTATCTTAAACTGACTTGTTCACCAGGAAATATCAGGAAAGTCAGTAGCATCACATCAGAAGCCGCAACCTCTGTAACTGTAGCTGCAGGCCCAGGAACATGCCCGTTTGATGCCAGACACCTGTTCACTAAAAAGAAAACCCCCGACTCCAGCACCTTTAGGGTTGTGTCTTATAACATTCTAGCAGAGGCATATTCTAAGGAAGAGTTTGCGCAGAAAATTCTCTATCCATATTGTCCACCATATGGTTTGGACATCAGTTACCGTCAGCAGTTATTGCTGAAGGAAATTCCTGGCTACAATGCAGACCTTATCTGCCTTCAAGAATGCGGGTCAAAATTATTCAAGCATAATTTAAGACCTGCTCTAGAAACCATGGGGTTTAAAGGTCTTTTAAGATGTAAAGCTGGAGAGGTTCCAGAAGGAGAAGCCACATTCTTCAGAGAAAGCAAGTTTGCTTTGATAAGTCAACATGACATTGTGTTAAATGAAGCCCTTCTCAAGGATTCTATACAAGGAGTGGTCTTAGACCATGTCTCAGCCATTCCAATTTTACACGAAACTTTGCTGAAGAGGAATGCAGTGGTTCAAGTTTCTATACTCAAAGTTTTGGGTATTGACAATCAATTCATCTGCGTAGCCAACACACATCTCTACTACAAACCCAAGTATCCTCATATAAGGTTGCTTCAGGGTGCAATTATTTTGAATCACCTGCAGAAAGTCATTTCACAGTTTACTTCTAACCACATCAATGGCAATTTCAGTGAGCGAGAGATCCCAACAAATGCCACTGATACTACCAATTGGGAGTCCCTTGAGGTTGCTAACAAAGGATTGCATGTTCAGCCACAGATTGCTGTTGTGTTTTGTGGCGATTTCAACAGTTTGCCAAGAAGTGGATTGGTTGAACTCCTGACAACTAGTCATATTGATTCCACACATCGAGACTGGACAGTATGTGAGGATAAGGAAGAGCACTGCACAACCTTGAATATCAGCCATGATTTTAATCTTTTCTCAGCGTGCAATTTTCCTCCATTCACAAACTACACCAGTGGCTTTAAAGGGACCTTAGATTATATTTTTGCTGATGGAAAGTACCTTGAAGTGGAATCAGTTCTTCCCTTGCCAAGTGAAGAGGAACTATCATTACATTTGGCTCTGCCGTCTGTCGTGATGCCTTCAGATCATTTAGCTTTGGTCTGTGATCTTAAGTGGAAATTGTGAACACACGCCATTAATATTTGAACAGCTTAAATGATAAGTACTTTGCAGAATCCACAGTGTCTTAAGCATTTTAAGCTAATTTGTTCTTATAAATCATCATTATGTACAGCTGGCCACCTGAAAGTTGGAGTGTTTATGGAAAGTGCTTGCCCACACCTAAAGCTATCTCGCCTTTCACTCCCATGATTTCATTTGCAGAGGAATTCTCCTTACTACCTGTCAGACAACTCTTATGGTCTTAGTTCAGAGAATTTGGTATTAGATCAACTAATACTCCCCTAGTTAATATGTTTCTTTATTATATAGCTGTGTCTCACAAGGACTGGGAACTACCAAATTCATGAATTTGATTGGCTGAAATCAATATTGAAAGCTGTCTAGATTTTCCCATCAGATCGGCATCTAGACCAGTCTAGAAAAAAAAGGTACAAATAATATAAAAAATTGGCATATAAGACACAGCCATATAATAAACATCTTATTAACTGAGCTAGGTCAGTCTGTATGGGAGAATCTTAACCTCAGTCGCTGGTACAGACCTCACTGTGTTCGGTCTCTACTGGCGACCTTGGTCAAGATTCTGCCATACAGACCTCCGACTCGGTTATTAAGAACTAATTATTATCCAACAGTGCTTCTTAGAGTTCAAATAACGTGCGAGACGAGTACAAATATCATGCAATATTTGTGCTCCAGAAATATCTGCGAAATTCGCCCGCACTGAGATAACAATTTGGTGGGTTGGATAATAAATCTCTCAATAGACGTTTTGTTGTGTAGTATCGCAGAGTATTTTTACGAGTTGTTTGTATTTTCATTGACTCACCCTACAGGCTCATCAAAATACGGCACAACTCGTAAAAATACTCAGCGATACTACACAACCAAACTTCCTATAAGATATATTTATTCTTATCAATAATGCTTGATATTACATGGATATTGTTGGGAGAAGTTTTGTCATGGTCACTCATGGAAGTTAAAAGATTAAAGTTCAAAGTTGAATTTTCAGCCATTTTAACTCTCTGGTACTTCAAACTGATTTTGGTTACCTTTGGCAGTGTGAGTTTTTTATTTTCTTTTTCAAGACTTTACAAAGTGTTAGATACAAAGCAAAACACTAGCATGCAAAATAGCAAACATAACATAACATTTATTCAGGAAGTAACAACGCAAATACAAAAAATACATCCTGAAAAGGGAAAATCGGGAGGTTACATGTAGCCCCGTATAAAAAGAAAAAGCTAGTCTAGGCGGGCAGTGAGTAAGACTGTTCACTTTACAGTAAAGAAGCACAAATGCACAGATGGAATAAACTTCGAAGTATTTAACAAGCTTGTTATAATACGAGTCTGTACAGAAATGCCAAGAAATGTAATTGGTGAGCATCAGTTGTTAAGTCACTGTGATAAATAGCCTTGTGGGTCTTCTTCCTGTTAAAATTTTGTTTTTTTTTTTTACTTAAAAGATCTGAATGATAATTTCTTGTTAACAACAACAACAATTTCTTTATTTATTGAGGGTGAAATATATTATTGCTGGTTGCCTGGTAGTTTACATAATGGCCCTCAACAAAAACAAAACACAAAAACAAAAAAAAAAAACAAAAATAAAAATCATACTGTTTTTACTAATTATTACACCTCCAACTAAATTATTAAAATTCATCATAAATTAAAATAAAAAAGTCCCACTGATCTTAAAGTGTTCGAGTGAAGAATTTTCTTTGATTAAGTTATTCTGTAGCATTTTTCCGAAATTTGAGCTGGAAATTATGTTTCTGTATGGGTTACCTAGATTATCCCATAGACAACATGCAGTTGAGTGGAAAGTCGTGAGCCCTGAGTTTCTTTTACATGATGGTGTCAAAATGTCAATACAGAAAGCAGATCTAGTTTGATAACCATGTGTAGACCTAAAATATGAGGTCAAATATTTAGGGCAATGACCATGGCTAACTTTGTGTAGCATAAAGAGTTTTTTAAACAATGTCATCCATAGGTAGCCAGCCTAATTTATCAAAAATTTCTACAAAGCTGTCATTAAAGGTGGCATCCAATATTAATCTTTTTTGTACTTGTAACAGTCTGAAGGTTTTCAACAAAACAGTTACCCCAAAGAGTACAACAGTACACAAGAATTGGCTTAATGAGGGTATTAAATAGCATTTTTATTAAAGCTTCTTAATATGATTTGTGTTATTAATTAAACCATTTCGTGTTATAGGAGGTTGTATCCTTTGGCCACTAAGTTCATTTAGTATTGCGCTGAGCAACTGTTTTCTGAGTAATGAAAGTGATATGATGGGAAAAATGACTTTGGTATCAACTTAAGATTAAAATATTTTTATTGTAAAAGAGATGCGATCTGTTAAAAAGGGGTGAAGTGAAGTGAAGTGAAAACCTCTATTTAACTTCGAATTACAGATAGCAAAGAACTATGCTAATATCTTCGAAGATAAAAAATAAAAATTAAATAGACCAAACAATTATGTATAGAAATAAGATATTAAGATTTTTAAGCTAAATTACAGAAAGAACAACAATCACGATTAAATTCAATTCGATTTACAGCTAGTTTAAATGCCTTCTTCGGTGAGGTGTTTATTTAGGAGAATTGTACCAAAGATGTAGAGCTTAAGAGAGAAAAAAACGAGAGGGATAATCTCCATATCCTCTCTAGTTAGGAGGTGAATGAAATATTTTGCAATTCATAATTGTCTCTGCAAGCAGCTTGTACCTGCCTCTGTGTATAACAAGGAAATTACACAAAAGCTTTAAGCTTTGAGTGTTATAGTTTTTCATGGCAAAATTCTCTTATTAATGCAAAAAAGTAATTCATGGCTCTGCGTAATTCCCTCCAAAAATATTCTGGTTATTGTAATGGGTTGCAGTGAATGACTTGTTGAGATAATGAAATCTAAAAAATATTTCATGTATTTTATACAAAGTTCATCTTAAATGAAATCATTTGTCAGCCCCATGTGGTTAGATAGACAGCCAAACGCTCACAACTGTGCATTCCTAAAGAGAACTTTGATCCTTTCACAACCCGTGTTGATCAATATGTAACAAAATTGTTTTATCAATTGATGGTATTGTCAAACAAAAAGAGACAAGAGCTTAACGATATTAGTCTAAGATCAGTTTCATTTTAAATTCTCTTAACTAGTATTAGACTGAGAAAGCATATGTGGCATTCACTGCCAGAGGAGAATTACCTCTTAGATCTTGCTGCAGTATTCAACCAAACATTACGGTGACATGGCTTAAAATTGACTTAGGAGTTTTTGTATTTAATTCTGTATTGCCCAGTTCCATATGTTTAAAATAAAATAATGTATAATTATTTGACCAGTTTGTAGACACTCCTGATTTTTGACTTAACATCAAAAGATGCTTTGTTTACCCAAATTTTTTGTGGTTTCACACAGACAATACCCATGCCTTTAACATCTGTCTATGTCTGATGTTAAAATATGAATAAACAATGTCAGGAAACTGGTATCAGGAAATCAAGTTAAGAAACTATATTTGACATGTGGTATTCATATTGAACTCTTTCACCCCTCTTACAAGCTGTTGTCTATTTCCTATTCCTGAGCTCTGAGACTCTAGTTTGAGCCCAACAATGTTCCTTGGATGATGTAATCTTTATTCTGTCTAGGAAGAAAAACACTTTGGTCACTGGTCGATAGATATGATTGGCTCAGACAAAAATCTGCATTTTTCCAGCCAATGATGTTGAAACTTAAAAAAAAATATTACACCTTGAAGACATAACAGCATTTTTTCTTTTGTTAACAATTTCCTTCTTAGACACATTTTCTCTAAATTTTACTCTGTATAATTTGTGAAATAAGTTGTTGCATTGCAAACTGGATGTGTAATTTCCGACATAGAACTATCTTTATCTTGTCAAGGGGTCTCTTGCACAGAAGAAATTTCCAGCTGAAAAATTTTACGATAACAGAAACAAATGGAGACAAATTTAATAATAAATAATTTTTTTAGATTCATGCACAGCAGTTTCAAGTCTGATCATGTTGTTGTTTTTCTTTTGACTGAGCACGTGGTTTTTAAACACGTGACTAAAGGTAGCGTTGCTGATTGGATTGGCTATCTGGGGGCTTGGTATGATGGAAGAAAGCAAGCAAATTATAGAAGAATTTGTTTTCCTCACGTAATCTCTGCGGTTTTGGAAAGCACTGAAGCACGATTTTCTGCAGTGAAACTCCTTGATTCAGCTGCAAGTGGTACTTTATCTCGTCTAACATTTGCAGTGCCTGTCACCTCAGCTAATTGCGAATTCATTATTCAAGAGATCGTGTGTATTGTTTCGTGTTGATCCGAAGATATTGGCGCGAGATTTATCGTACATGATTTTTATTATGGCTTGATCAATGCCGTCATCAAGCGAAAGAGGTGAAATATCGGCAATTTCCTTGACCTTGGACAAGTTATTTTTCTCCCTGATGCACGTGTTTTATGGTATACATGAACTGATTCCGTCAGAAAATGGCTGAGATCAGGAGTTTAGCTTCTGCAAGGACTGAAGATGATGTTTCCTTAGAAGAGGTGAGTTAAATTATTTTGTTTAGCATCCTGCGGGCCTTTATTTTCTCTCGGTAACCATCTGGTCGTTTTATGAACTGCAGGTGAAGCCTCAGATCACTGTGGACAATGAAGAATTCAGAAAGGTTTTCGAAAGGCCATTCGCTGCTCCGCTTCCATCTGAGTCAGCACCTCAATCATTGCAAGTTCCCACTTCTCATTATGACTACAATTTCGACGAGAAAGATTACAAATGTGAGTTATTAAAGCTGATTTCATTAATTTTACAGCGAGATAAAAGAGCATTTTTTTTAGTTATCAGCTGTGCTGAAGTGTTGTATATTACTAATTAAGCATATTATGCATTTTTAAGTGAGGGTAGCTCTCCAACTATCTCTTAGGCTATTTTTCAAAATATCAGACCGTTCAGGTCAGCATGATCTCGGATATGTTCAGAATTTGCGTACGAAGTACGTGGCCTTTTCAGTGGTCGTAAGTCTAAGATGACGTCTCAAATAGTTAAACGATTACTAAATGATCTTAGATATTTTAGAGATTGCAGTCTCTTTCTCTATGTAAAGTTCCGTGAGCTCTATTTATTAAAAAAAGAGCCACATTGTTACAATGTACTGGCTTGAGATAAGCAGTTGGGTGGTATGATAACATATGGCTTCACCTTGTTTAGGTAATTATCTTAGAATGCAAACAAGGTCAATGTGCTTTTTCATCGAATGTGTCGTGAAAGAGCTTTAAAAATGTAGCTTAAAATGTTGAAAAATGGGAGCTAAAGACCATGTCTTACTTTAGAAATAAGGTCTTTGAAAATGAAAGAGAGTGAGGAATAGAGAAACTATTTCTTGTCAACAACCCACCAAGGAGAGTAAACATTTGTGACCAATGCAACAGCCCCGTAGGCAAACAAGTTCAGATCAAGGTGATGAGGGCTTAAGATTAAATTCTAACTTACCACAGATTTCATCTCAACTAACAAACATGTACCAGCCATGTTCACTGAGGAGAAAAAATGTTTTTATTACAGTATGGGTTTAAAATAAATCTTGGATTTTACCGTGCACCGTGACACTGTGCTGTAAAGAGAAGTAAAGGATAAGTGAAATATATATGCAGTGAAAAACAACAGAATGGAAATGGTTTGTAGTAGGATTTTTTTAGTGAATTTCTCATCAGCCCCCATATCTTGACTTTTCATGTGCTGTTTCATTTTCTGAAATTCTTGAAATGCATACTGGGGAAATAACCTTATAACTCGCAGAGGTGATTAACAGGTAATATCTTCCCACGATATCCATACATTGCCCAGCAAATAGATAAGGAGAATACTAAAACTTTCAATTTGAATTATTTTTTTCAGTTGTTTGGTGGAAAACCTGTAAACTAGCTTCTAGCTAAGTGTTTCTCCAGGTTAAAAACTGTTTATTATTATTATCTGGTAGAAGTTGTTATCTTGATCTGACACCAAATTCATATACTGTAACTAATTTAGAATGTGGCAGCTGTAAAGGTGAACTAACAGGCAGATCTTAGGCTTAAAAGGATTATATGCTGATCAATTTAAAGCTTTTAC